TGCCGAAAGCTCGGGGAAGGCAAACAATGCTGGGAGGGGGGCACAGTGGGAGAGTGCAAGGAGGGGTCAGCTGATGGCCTGACGGTTTCACTTAACGTTTAATTTTTGGCCCAGATCAGGGGCCTAATAATGATCCTTCCTATGCTGGGGGCTCTTCACCTGGGCTTCGAACTGTACCCTTAAGTGGTCCACACATCTGTGCGTGTTCAAGTTGCGCTTCCGACTTATGGCGACCCTACGGATTGATGTCCTCCAAAACGTCCGATCTTGAATAGCCCTGCTCCGGTCTTGCCAACTGTGGCCCTTCCTTGATGGAGTCCATCCGCCTGCCTCATGAGTCTTCCCCCTTTCCCTGCCGCCTTCAACGTCTCCTCACACGATTGCCTTTTCCAGTGACCCTTCGTCTTCTTGTCGTGTGGCCTCAGTTCAGTCATTCCAGCTTCTAGGCCGAAATTCAGGCTTGATTTGATGTAGAACCCACTTATTTGTCTTACGGTATCCGTAAGGCTCTTTTCCTCTGCCACATTTCAAATGAATCCACAATTCCTCCTGCCGGCAGCCCGCCGCAGAGACCAAAAACCCCCAAACCTGTTTTATTGACAGGGCCTTACAAACAAACAAAACCACCTCGGTTTCGACGGCCTCCAAAGGAGAAACTGGCTCCTCACCCAGAGAAATGCAGAACGTTTTCATTCCGTTCTTGTCCTGCGTCGCGACGCTTCTCCCGCAGTCGCGTCTCGCTAGTCCGAAGGAATGGCCGTTGGGCCTAGTCTTCCTGGCATCCTCTCCCGCCCTCACTTGCGGCCCTCACAAATCCCCCCCTCCCCCAACGTTCTCTTCACAACTGGCCTCGGACACAAAAGCCGCTCCCCAGCCCACCCGTCTGTCTTTTTTTATATAGAACGATGTGGGGCACAGGCCCAAAGCTCACGCCTCAACGATGAGTCTTCCCCCTTTCCCTGCCGCTTTCAACGTCTCCTCACACGATTGCCTTTTCCAGTGACCCTTCGTCTTCTCGTCATGTGGCCTCAGTCCAGTCATTCCAGCTTCTAGGCCGAATTCAGGCTTGATTTGATGTAGAACCCACTTATTTGTCTTACGGTATCCGTAAGACTCTTTTCCTCCGCCACATTTCAAATGAATCCACAATTCCTCCTGCCGGCAGCCCGCAGCGGAGACCAAAAAACCCCAAACCTGTTTTATTGACAGGGCCTTACAAACAAACCCACCTTGGTTTCGACGGCCTCCCAAGGAGAAACTGGCTCCTCACCCACAGAAATCCAGAACGTTTTCATTCCGTTCTCGTCCTGCATCACGACGCTTCTCCCGCAGTCGCGTCTCGCTAGTCCGGAGGAATGGCCGTTGGGCCTAGTCTTCCTGGCATCCTCTCCCGCCCTCACTTGCGGCCCTCACAAATCCCCCCCTCCCCCAACGTTCTCTTCACAACTGGCCTCGGACACAAAAGCCGCTCCCCAGCCCACCCGTCTGTCTTTTTTTATATAGAACGATGTGGGGCACAGGCCCAAAGCTCACGCCCACTCACTCACTCCCCTCTTCCCTCAGTATCCTGCCTCATGCAGGACTCATCCAGATGGCTCGGTTCAAGAAATCAGCTGCTCCCGGGCATCCAAGTCCCCGCCGCCTCATGCCGACCAGCACTGGCTCCCCCAACTCCCGGCCTATGCAGCTGGAAGGGACAGATGCCCGAGGAGTGCAAGCTGGGCCGTTGGCAACCTGCAGTCGGGTCCAGGGATTTGGCAGGGAAAATTGCGAGGTTTTCTTCTTTCTCTCCCCCAAATATTTCACGATTCTTCACAACGCTGCTGAGCCAGGGATTTCGGAAGCGGCTGCCGGAGCAGGCTGTTTTGTTATTTTGGGAGGCAGGAGGAGAAAGAGGCAGATTTGCCCCCAAATGTGCAGAATTCAAGGGGCCTCGGTGCAGAATTTGGAAGGTGTCTGGGGCCGGCTCTCCTCCCGGAATCAGGCCTCCCCCCCCCCCCCGGCCACCCCAAAAAAAAATCCTGTGCGGTTTGGGGTG